ATACTTCCAGCTTGTCATCCAAGTACTAATGAGGCTTCTCTTGCTTAACGTTTTCACATCAGCTAAGGCTGATAAGTAAATAACTGTAAATAAATGAAAATATAGTAAAGACCGATAAAAACCCAACTTCTACAATTCTTTGAACAGAACAATTGGGAACTAATGGCCTGGGAAAGGGAAATGATTCCAGCTAAGCGGGTTTCTTTTCTATAGAAGTTGTAGGTTACTTTCTTTCAATCAGAGAAAAAGAAATATTCAGAGTCTGGAAATAAAAGAATCGTCCAAGGGATTTCTTTGACATCAGCACTGTCAAAATGAACACAATTCTTTTGTAAGTAAAGAAGCCCCATTGACATCTGCTCAAAAACATTATAAGGGCTTTGCTTTGTGTAATTCAGAAAAATATGAAAATTAATTTTATGGAAGATCAGGTATTAAACTGGAACTAGGAAACACAGGTCCAAGTCCACTTTCAGTTCACATGTGACAATGTAACTAAGTCACACTTTTCAAAATTGTGGTCTTCTGATAAAATCATAATTGACACACCGTGCAAAGTCAAAACCAAAAAAACCATACATTGATTTAGATGCAATCTCTTGTAAAACCTATCTCAAAAACTGTTGTTGTGGGGAATAATATTAGAAGAGGCAACTATCCTGAACCTCTGGGAGGAAAAGCAGGTTGTTTATCTAATGAGTAAATGAAATGTAACCAAATAAGATAAAGCTGCACCAACTTAAAATGGTTAGGTTTAACAGGTTCATGCACACACATTACAGTTCTGTAATTTCTTTTCAATTTGCATTTGTTTTAAACCAGTTTTCAATGTTAATGACTGAGTCAAATGATAGCAAAAGGTGACTCATTCAAACTAACTCCTACAATTTTAGCCTCTTAAAAAGACAATATTCCTGAACCTATTCATTTACAAACTTTGTATGCCATTTCACAGACAAAACAGATGGTCCTCGTTTAATGACTGATCACTTAGCGATGTTCAAAGTCACACCACCTCTCCCCTAAAGGTACTTATTTCCTAGTTCCAGAGTGCCAAACCCCTCCCCCCAGAGTCACATGGCTGCATTTGGGTCAGTTGTAGCATTCTGCAGTCACATGATGCAAATTACATTGTTTTTGAATTGAAATGCCCATAGGAATGCACTGACTCAGTAACAACGGTATTCACTTCACAACTGCTGCAAAAACTGGATCAGTCATGTGGATGCCTTGACTTATGACCATCTTGACTTATGATGGAGAACCTGGGCTTCATAACAGTGTTAAGTCAAGAACTACCTGTAGTTTCCAAAGCAATTAAAATGCTTTGCCAATTGCAGAGTAGCAGCAATAACAGAAAAGCTGCTTTCAATGCACAATGAATCATATTTCCAACCACCTTTTTGCATTAATAGATGTAGATTTTTTTAATCAGAAAAACTTAGTTTATTAGAAGGTTCAACACACATTAACATTTAGATACTCCAGTCACTTGAGGAATAATTCAATAAATAATCAGAAAGGAAATGCAAGTTAGGGAGAAACGCACCACTTCTCCTCAAAATGGATAAAGCCTACTTTTTTTAAAAAAAAGTGAGAATATAATCACCAATTGTCCGCTGGTCCACTATGGATGGGTGTGTTCCAACTTCAACAGTTATCATCAGAAGCTCTGTCTTTTGAACAACGCTCTTCCAAACAAGCTCCCTTTTAGCCTCACTGTTACTTTGAGCTACTATATTTGCCAATCATGAAAGCAAAATGAAAGGATGGTTGGAAGTGATGCAACTGTGTCCTCAATTAACACAGCAGTCTTCAAAAATTTGCTTTACAGAAACATACCAGCATCTCCTTTGGCATTTAACAGCAAAGCGAAAGACTGGAGATAATTTCTCCAACCTCAATAGACTTGGAATCAAAGAAAATGGTTGGATTTACACATCATTTCTAGTGTGGGTTCCAGATTTTATGAATCCAGCTGTTGTGGTTTATTCCACAAATCAACACTTATATCTTAACTTATGACTGGTTGCTTAGCAACCATTCAACATTCTGATGCTCCCCCCAAGGGACTTAAGACCTGCTTTCAAAGTTGCAACATTGCTCTCCCAGTCACGTGACTGCATTTTGAGTGCTCAGCCTGCATTTATGCCCATTTGCAATACCCTATGACAGTGATGGCAAACCTTTTAGAGACCGAGTGCCTAATCTGCAACCCAAAACCCACTTATGTATCACCGGGTGCCAGGTGGGTGTGGCCCACTCGGCGGGCGCAGTTACAGTGGGCTTGGCAAACTGGGTGGGCATGGCTACTGGATGGGTGTGGCTGCAGTAGTCATGGCAGATTGGGTGGGCATGGCCACCTTGATGTTGCTTATGGGGAGGGACACCTGTGGGAGCCGGGCAGGGTTGGGGGAGATCCAGGGGGACTCTGGCGGGTGGGATGGTGAGGTCCCCAATAGCGGCTCCAGGCTGGCTGGCCTTAGGCCAGAGATGGCGAACTTTTAGAGACCACGGTGTGCTGAGGGCATGGCACGTGCCCAGAGAGGGCTCCACGTGCCGCCTCTAGCACATGTGCAATAGATTCGCCACCACTGCCGTATGATCACAATTTACAACAATGTTTAGCCAAAAGCTGGTATTTACTTCCAGTTTTTGGCAAAAACTGCACATAGTGAACAATTGGTTCAGTGAACAACAAGGTCTTAAAAACAGGTCTGGTCACATGGTAACCCACTTTGCAACCATAATTGTCAGGCTCAATTACAACTGTAAGTCAAGGACTACCTGTATAAGGAACCACTTTATAGTTCCTTGTAAACATTTGGACATAGCAAGGGAATGTGAAAAGTATTCTGAAAAGATGTGCATATCATACAAAACATGGTTAAATAGGTTATGACTCTCCTGCTCACAAGCCAAGATTACTTCTCTGTAGGGTAAGAAATCAGAACTGCCCAAGATTAGAGAAGGGCCACTGAACAAAATTACCGCTGCTCCTCAAAATCACCGAAGTCTTAATGTAGTGAGGACCCGTTTGAAAGCCTGAATCAGCACAAATCTCTCATGCAATCACTCCTGATTTATTAAAGAATATCAGACAAAACTACCAACAATTTGCAGAAATGCCTGCATTTCTTATTTTAAGATTTCTAATGCTCAAGCAGTCGAAGGAAAGATGGGGGATTCTTCTGCCTTACTAGCAGGAAACTTTGAAGGACTTACAGATATATTTTTCATCCTTGCATATATTTTCCTAGTTTCAATAAGCAGAATCAATTAAGAACCAGCAACAGTGGCAAAAGAAACACCCTGAAAAAAATAGTTTGCATACAAGTCATTAAAATGGCAGGAATTCAGACCTAGGATACATAAACCATCTGCTTAGGCTGAGTGCACCCCTTCACTGGAATGGTTACCCCACACATTAAATCAAAGATCTGAGGCTGCCTTGGCCCACCCTGAGATGCTGAATCTTGGGGGGGGGGAATCTCGTTTTGGTCACATTACAAAGATGTTGAGACTTTGGAAAAAAGTGCAGAGAAGAGAAACTAGGATGATTAAAGGCCTGGAGACTAAAGTGTTAAGAAGAATGGTTGCAGGGACTGGGTATGGCTAGTCTAGAGAAAAAAAGGGCTGCCACAAACAAGAGGGGGTCAACTTATTTTCTAAGCACCTGAAGGCAAGACAAGAAACAATGGATGGAAACTAATGAAGGAGAGAAGCAACCTGCAATTAAGCAGAAACTTCCTGACAGTGAAAACAATCAATCAGTGGAACAACTTGCCTTCAGAGCTTGTGGGTACTTCATCACTAGATTTTTAAAAGACTTGTCTGTAATGGTATAGGGCAGGGGTAGGCAACCTTGGCTCTTTTATGAGTCGTGGACTTCAACTCCCAGAATTCCCAAGCCAGCATGGCTCAGCTTGGAAACCTCTCCCTTTCCCCTCAGCATAGCTGGCTCAGGAATTCTGGGAGTTGAAGTCCACGAGTCATAAAAGAGCCAAGGTTGCCTACCCCTGGTATAGGGTCTCCTGTTTGAGCAGAGGGTTGGACTAGAAGACCTCCAAGGTCCCTTCCAGCTCTATTCTGATTGACTGAATTTCCCTGGAGTTCTCAAAGCTTTCTCAGGAATTATCTGACTCAAGTGGAAGCGGCGGAGCTGTCAACTTTCCAAGCCCCGGCTCGCGTTCCCCGGGGAGGCCGGGCGGGAGGTTAAACCTAAAAGGTTGCCCGGAGTCACTCGGGAGGCTTTCTCAGCAGGCGAGGCTCCCCTTGGTGGGTGGGGGAGCAGGGAGGTGGAAGCAGCCCGAGGAAAACTTGCGACCTCCCTTCCCGCCGAGCAACTTTCCCCGCTCCCGCTAAGCGCCCAGCGGATTCCGAAGGTTGTCTCGACTCCGACAGAACAAAAGGGCGAGAGCGCGCGCCTTTCAAGCCGAGGTGCTCGCTGGGGGGGCCCTTTCGCCTACACCGACCTCGCCCCCTCCCCGGCAAAGGGAAGAAGCTCCCTCTTTGAGCGCTCCCATTGCAGTACCTATCAGACATGAGGGGTTCTCTACCCGGCCATTCGGGTCTTCTTTCCCCCGCCACCGTACGCCTATCGTTTATGTGCCGGACCGCAATTGCCACCGTTGCTTTCCAGGGTCTAGGGAGAATGGAACCTGTAGTGCAAGCTAGGGCAAAGAGCATCTCCCTATCTCATATTCCTGGTCACACAAATGCCAGGCCAATTGCACCGGCTCGGACATCATCTTCTCCTTTCTGCCCTCCGTTCCAGCCGGTTTCAGTCTTTCTCGAAGACGGGCGAGACAAAGCAGCCATTCATAGCCTCGCTCGCTCCTTCTCGGGGAGTCAAGGTTCCCCCACCCCTTCCAAATAGATTCCCAACTACAAACGAAGGGAGAAAATGCAAAGAAAGCGGGCGAGGATGACGAAGACTTGCGAAAATCCCCCGCGAGGGAGAGCAAGCTCGTCCAAAAGTTCCCACAAACGCTACTCACCCCATAAAAGATTTGCTGCACCCTGTTGCTAGTCGATGCCGGTTCCGGCTGCAGCGCCGCGAGCTGTCGAGCGGCGTTTTCGGGCACAAGAGGCGGATTTGTCGCTTGCAAAATGTAGGGTTTGCGTTGCTTCTCCTCCCCTCGGCGCTTGCTTCTGCCACAGGGCGGCTACTACTCCTCGCTCTTTTGCCTGCTCGCTTGCTTGCGAGCTGCTCGCCTGTTCGCTCCGAGCCACGCGCGCGCCCATATGCCGAGCCTCGAAAACTACTCCTCGGCGTTCTAAATGCCCCGGAGTGGGCGGGGAAATGACGTCACAGCGGAACCACGTGACCCAGCGAAAGGCGCCGCCACCGCTGCTCCGCCTCGGGGGAACCGCGTGGCGCCGGGTCTGGGGCGCTCGCCTAACTGACTGGAGGTCGGTCACGTGGTTCGCACTGTCTCAATCTCAGCCCAGCTTCTTCTGTTTCTTATGAACTTCATGGCTTGGCGGCCGTCGGGATTGGGCTTGAGCGCCTCCGGCGGCGATGGCGGCACCTCAGGTGTTGGGAATTGGTTTCTGCTGGTGGGGAGAACCCCTCAAAACCACGTTCCTCTGCTTTGGACTTCAACCGATAAAACGCCCAGGAGCCGCCTGGGTTGGTGCCTCCTGAAAGGGTAGCGAAGCAGGTCATCATGCACCGAGGTCGCCTTAAATCCTTGTCTGTCCAATCACACTTCGCCAATAAAGAATTTCTCTTCTCTTCATCTGAAGCTGTTCTGATTATTGATTGATCGTGTGTCATCGTTTTCGACGATCTATCCCTATCATGACCCCCAACAGTGCACTTGTCATCACTGCAACAGGGCCATCCACCAGGCCACTGGTCATCTCTCTCCTTCCACCTTTCCCAGCACTGGAGTCTTCTCCAGAGAATTGGGTCCTTGGATAATGTGTCTGAACTAGGATCATGTGAACTTGAGCATTTATGCTTTGAGTGAGAACTCAGTCGATTTGTTCAATGATCCATTGGTTTGTTTTCTTGGCTTTCCTGGGTATTCTCAGGAATCTCCTCCAACACCAATGATAAAAAATGGCAATGCTTTTTCTACCCTGCTGCTTTAAACTCCAGCTTCTGCTTCCAGAGAGTCATGGGGAATATCATAGCTTGCAGATTCTGATCTTTGTGGGGTTAGGGTTCAAAGCATTTGAATATCTTAAAAACCTTCATGGCTGCTCTACAAAGTGTTATCTGTAAAGTATTTCTTGACTGCTTGTTCCTTTATTGTTGATGGTTGATCCTAAAAGGCAAAAGATATCCACCACTTTGATATTTTCATGATCATTTCTAAGATTACTTATTCTTCCTGTTCAGGTGTTTTGGAATTAATTTTCAGTTAGGCTTCTGCCTAATTCCTCTTCTGAGTCTACCCTGATTGATAGATTTCACTTTGGATGAACTGGGAGCTATTGCATGAGACAACTAGTTCAGGATGCCATAAGGTGCTGCATCAGAATCCTGGAGTTCCAGATTCAAGTCCATGCTCAGTCATGGAAGCTCCCCAGATGAATTAAGGTCAAGCATATGTTAGTTCTACTTACCTCACAAGATTGTTGTGAGGATAACATTGAATAGGGTACCCTACGCACTCCAGTCTCCTGCTTTGAAGGAAAGCTGGAATTGAAACTAATGAATGATTAAACCAGAATAATAAATGGCTGCAAATAAATTACAAGGCTTCTTTGGAAGTACTTCCTATTTAAATCAGTAGGGATTAATTTTAAATAAACATACATAAAACCAGGTTGCAAAAATAACAAAAGTGGCTGAGGCCATGATAAACATTGAAATAAGAGTTCTTTGAAATTGTTTGGAATGACACACAAGTGCTGATTCATCTGCAAAATTTTGTATTTTAAATCTGATTTATACTTTAGCTAGGAATTACAGAGAGTTGCAGAAAACTGATGGATTTAGATCAGGGAACCAATAAAGGAGAATATTTGTTGCTCAGGGTTGAAGTGATGGATCCTTTGTGCTCTCTGAGCTTGCTTGTTGTCTTGCAGGGCACTGATAGTGTATCCTAGTTTGGATAATGAAATGTCTGCAAGAAAACAGCCAAGCTTAGGGAGCACCATGGACCCCTCAGATCAGTGCTTTCAAACTTGGCAGCTTTAGGATATGTGCACCAACTCCCAGAGTTCCTCAGTCAACATGTATTAGATTAACATGCTTGCGGGTAGCCCCATTTGGCTGGACTCACACACTCTACAAAGCTTTTTGTGAATTATATTCACAGTTCAATCCCCAAAAAAGCTCAAGAACATTTCAGCTGAGCAGCTTTTGTGAATCCAGCTTATTTCTTTTTTTAAAATTGTTGGGTAGTCATTGCTGGCTCTTGTGGTTTTTAGAATTTGCTTTCAGATTTGTGGTGTTGGTATCTTTGCATTTGTGGTTCTTTTTATAATGCTGCTACAACTGCTCATTGGCAGGAAAATGCATTTTATAAGCATTTGAATAGATTTCTTTTTTAGGCATTGGGCTGCATGGCCCAAATATCTCTGAAATTAGTGTGTGGGATTAGGATAAACCATATGGAATTGTTTTTAGAAATTTTAGGATTAATGTTTCATTACATTGCCCTACATACAATAGCTTCTACATTATGATATCCGGCCATTAAATTGAAATTTTTCATATATGCTAATGGTATTCATTTTGTTATAGATGGAAAACACTGGGCAAGTGACATTTTTTCAAGTAGTTTAATCCACTCAATCTTTTTAAACCATTGTTTTCAAGTGAAAAGTTTTTCCAAATACTTAATAAAATGAAATCTATAATTTCTTTTTTAACCCAGTTCCTGTTCAAAGAACATCACAAAGAGGTTGGCTACTATAGACTAACTACAAAGCTAGAAGAGAGTAACATAACTCTGCTGCTACTTGGTTGGGAAAAATAACTTTTGATTTTTTTTCCTTTTATTTTCCTCTCAAGAAAGATTCCTAAGCTTGATTCACACACTGTGCTGAACCATCAATTAGCCAGCCACATCTTAGCTAATTTTTCTTCTTAACAGGCAATTAAGAAGCCAGATGGGTATTTGTAAGGCTTAATAGAGCTATCCCCCAACACCTGCTAAACATTTGGTCTCTCCCAATGTGATGACATCATGGGCAAGCTTTTTGTAGTCTTCAGAGACCACATTGAAGAAGAAAGTTGTGCATTGTTTCATCTGGGCAGTAGCCAGTGGTGGATTCAGCCGGTTCGCATCACTTCAGCAGAACCAGTAGCTAACTTTTTGTTGCCCAGGCCCAGAATGGACTTCCGGAAACGGCATCTACACAGAGAACCAGTTGTTCACATATTTGAATCCCACCACTGGCAATAGCTGAGTCCATCCTTCAAGACAGAAATTCAAACCTTTTGTGGAAAATCAGATGCAAACAGAAGAATAAAATTTAAGTGTAATTTTTTTCATGCAGAAAACAAAAAAAAAAAATCAAATGTTCAGATAGTTTAATGGTCGACTTGGTAATGATTCTTGTGAAAGAGGGTTTGGAATAGTGATTTCAAATTGTATATGAACCAAAAGTGTGATGTAGTTGCAAAGCTGGCAAATGCTACCCATTAGTGGGTGAAAGTGGCAAGAAGGTGACAAGTAACAGAGAGATAGCAGAACTATTTAACTCGGTTTTTCCGCATCTGTCTTTACACAAAGGGAAAAAACAGACCAACCTATCAAAATAGTGCCATAAAAAACAAAATAGAAATACAAGTTAAGATAGGCAAGAAAATGGTAAGTGAACACCTGTCCAGCCTAGATGAGTTCAAATCACCAGGACCAGATGGATTACACCCCAAGGTTCTTAAGGAACTGGCAGATGTGATCTCAGAACCACTGAACTATATTTTTCAGAGATCCTGGAGCACCGGGGAACTACCAGAGGACTGGAAAAGAGCTGATGTAGTTCCCATCTTCAAAAAAGGGGGGAAAAAGAACCCAGGAAATTACAGACCTATCAGGCTGACCTCAATACCTGAGAAGATTCTGGAAAAGATAATCAAGCAACAAATCAGCGAACACCTACAGGCAAACAAAGTCATTACTAAAAGCCAACACGGGTTTGTCAAAAATAGATCATGCCAGACAAATCTTATTGCATTCTTTGACCAAGTGACAAAATTAGTGGACCAGAGGAATACTGTGGATATAATTTACTTGGACTTCAGTAAGGCATTTGACAAAGTAGACCAGAACCTACTACTTGAGAAGATAGAAAAATGCGGGTTAGACAGCATCACCACCAGATGGATCTGTAGCTAGCTGACTGGCCGTACTCAGCGTGTGGTCCTCAATAGAACCGCATCTACATGGAGGGAAGTGTGTAGTGGGGTGCCCCAGGGCTCTATTCTGGGCCCAGTGCTCTTCAACATTTTCATCAACAATCTGGATGAGGGGATAGATGGGGAACTCATCAAATTTGCAGACAACACCAAGCTGGCAGGAGTAGCCAACACTCCAGAAGATAGGCTTAGGATACAGGAGGATCTGGACAGACTTGAACACTGGGCGCTATCTAACAAAATGAAATTCAATGTTGAAAAAAGTAATGTTCTACATTTAGGCAAGAAAAAACAAATGTACAGGTATAGTATAGGGGGTACCTTGCTCAATAGTAGTAACTGCGAGAGGGATCTCAGAATCCTAGTGGACAATCATTTAAATATGAGCCAGCAGTGTGCTGTAGCTGCCAAAGGTGCATGGCTGCATTAACAGAGGGATAGAATCAAGATCACGTGAAGTATTAATACCACTTTATAATACCTTGGTAAGGCCACACTTGGAATACTGCATCCAGTTTTGGTCACCACGATGTAAAAAAGATGTTGAGACTCTAGAAAAAGTATAGAGAAGAGCAACAAAAATGATTAGGGGACTGGAGGCTAAAACATATAAGGAACGGTTGCTGGAATTGGGTATGTCTAGTTTAACAAAAAGAAGGACGAGGGGGGACATGATAGCAGTGTTCCAATATCTCAGGGGCTGCCACAAAAAAGAGGGAGTCAAGCTATTTTCCAAAGCACCTGAAGGCAGGACAAGGAGCAACGGGTGGAAACTAACCAAAGAGAGAAGCAACCTAGAACTAAGGAGAAACTTCCTGACAGTGAGAACAATTAATCAGTGGAACAACCTGCCTCCAGAAGCGGTAAATGCTCCAACACTGCAAGTTTTTAAGAAGAGACTGGACAGCCATTTGTCCAAAATGGTATAGGGTTTCCTGCCTGAGCAGGGGGTTGGACTTGATGACCTCCAAGGTCCCTTCCAACTTTATTATTATTGTTGTTGTTGTTGTTTTTGCTATTATTATTATTATTATTATTAATGCACTGATTAAAAATAATAAAGGTCATGGAAACTAATCAGTCTAGTTTGTTGTGATCAGACCATCTCGTGAATACTGAGATTTGCTCTGGAAACCTCACCACACTTTAATAAGGATTCAGTGAAATGGGATTGGGTTCAGAAAAGGGTAGCCAATCAGGGGACCAAAAGCAAAGGCCAATAAAAGACTGAAGTACGGGGGATCTATTTAGCCTTGAGAAAGGCAACTGAGGAGGCTTGCAATCATTACTTTTCAGATATTGAACAAATGTCATACAGAAGCAAGTCAGAATCTCTTCTTCTAGGATATAAAACATAGGGATTTTGATCTTATC